TTACAAGAAATGTCTCTTACATAAACACACGCCGACATACTTACAGATAGAAAAGCTCTACAAATTCAACCAAATTTACATCATATTTAACTATTTTTGTCCAGACTTTTTTTTTGTAGAAGTAACAGTTAACAAGATTTGTCAAAGTCATAAAAAAAGTATTCATACAGTGTCTGATGATTCAGGGAAGAGATCCGATAAATACCACAGCTGTGACAGTATTAGTGTACTGTTACTTTATACTTTATATTTTTACCATATAAGGACACTGCTGTGTATTTTAAGGCTTATTTTTGAAGACTTTTTCAGGAACTGATCAGTATAGTATAGGGGTTGGCACCTCCAGTTCTGGAGGAATTGTGAACTCTTCCATGTGGCTCTTGCAGTCCTGTGCTGCAGCTTTTCTATGTTTAAATCCTGTTGATTTTCACTCACCTGTAGCTACTGTAACGTTTGTGATCACTGACAGAGGAAGTGTGAGAATTAATGAGGTTAATATAGTTTTCAGCTGCTCAGTTCAGTGAGAGTGTTAACCATGTGACCCAGGAGTCCAGCACCTCTCCAAGGAGAACGTTGAGACGCAGAGATTTGACTATGAAGTAGAGCAGATCATTATCACACGTTTGCATTAGGGCAGAATCGAATCGCTCCATCGTCCTCTTCGTCATCACAGAGATAAACGCACCTCTGCTCACCTGCACACGGATCATTCATTATGACGGTCTATTGTGTGAGCCTTGACATTTCTCCGGGGAGATGATTATCACCTTCTTTTATAATTTTCTCCCTGTTCCACTTTAATTGACAGTGTAATTGTCTGATAGGTTCAGATTCAGCCTTTCATCGCAGCTTTATTTTTATCTGCCAGTTCAGCCAGACTTCGGCAACCCTAACAACCGTATGATGGCGAGAACGCCTAACAAACACAACGGTCACAACCTGTGATTTCACATTATTTTTCTGAGAGTCTAATGAAAACACTGTGGCGTGGGTGGTTTTTGAACAACATTTCTAACGTGGCAGTGAATTTTCTTCAAACAACAATCTTCATTTTTACTTCAAACTAAATCCCCTTTGTTGGCAGGAAAATGTGAAGAGAAAAGGAACAATCCAGAAACTACAGACACTGCCTCATTCTGAGTTTGTTTTGAAAGGATTATTAGAAAATTATTTGATAAAATCTGGGCTTAAACTGAACTGAATAGAAAACCAACTGTGATACCTAATCTAACCTAATCTGACCTAATCTAACCTAATCTGACCTAATCTAACCTAATCTGACCCATAGCCAGAGACTTTAAGGACTCGGATGTCACTGTCAATTATATTATTTATACTGTATCTCATGTGTTTAGTGTATTTTGTTCATGCATGCATTCATGCATTTATTCTTTTTAAAGCAACAGAAAAAAACATTTGTGTTCAGATCAAAATATGTCAGACCCCAGGGTTAAAAAAAAAGTAATTTGTTAAGAAATGATTTTAGGATTTAATGGAAAAAATGCCAAAAATGCTGAGACAATCATTTTCAAAATAGCCTGTAACTGTGGAAGTTAGTTCCTTTAATTGTGGGCGACTTTAATGACCTTGAATCTACATCAAATCTAAATGTGTTTGATGTTTCTTTATAGCTTTGAGCTGTTTGATCATTCTTCTGGACTGACTTTCAGCTGTATCTGCTCTTACTTTGAAAGTTTAATCTCAATTCTATGATCTTTATCTTTTGACTAATTTTTCAGCTTTTATATCCATATTATATCTGTTATTAAACACTTTCAAATTAAAAGCACTTAGTGTAATGAGGACATCACTGAAAATGTTGCAAAGGGAACTTCTCAGTTTTTTGGATAAAAGTTTTTTGGCAAAAAAAAGTTATAAAAAAAGGAACTGTAGTTTTTGACCCTTTCACCTGTGCTATCACATTTCACGCCGCTGCCGCTCTAATCTATGATTAAGTTGAATTCATTTAGAATAAGATGTTGAGAACATGTATAAATCAGTTTTTAATGTAATTTTGGTCTCCAAACCTTTTTAATATTCCACTCTTAGCTCCAGTGTTTTTGTCCGACTAATCAAACCTCTTAAACCCAACTGCTCCTCCCTTTGCCCCCCCCCCCATCCCCCATCTCTTTTTTCTTTGATTACTCAGCAGTAAATGCAGAAACAGGCATAGTTCATTTCCATTTGTTATCATATCTTCTGTGGGCACAGCACTCTGGTTGGTTCTCTCTCTGCTCCGTCCTTCTCATTGTGCCCTTGTGTTCATCCATCGCCTCTGACGATTTCGTCTCCTCCTCTGTCATTTCCTCCTCTCTCTCTCTTTTGGTTTGCTCTGGGCTTGAACTAATTTCATTGGAATTTTCCATCCATCCTCCAGCACTTGCACTTCCAGCATGTAAATTCTCAGAAACAGCTTTATGTCAGAGGACTCTCATTAATTGTAATTCACATTTTAAGGAAGTGTTCTAACTTTACTGTGAGGCTTTCAGACATAATAACTAAATAATCTGTTTTTAAACAAATGCTCAGTACATTGTATTTGTATTACACAAATCCAAAGGGAGATTTTTAGGCCAGCTCATTCTACAATCCATATCTTGCTTTATTTATTTAATAAATGCCTTGCAACTATTTCCTATTGGATGTGACGCACAGACGCAGAGATAATGGAAAAATGATCATAAATTATTAATAAAAGTAAATATGTAAAACAAAGTAGACAAGAAGAAGGAAGAAGTTATACATAGTTCTGGTAAAATGTATGATATAATAATTGACGTTATGAATAATTTATCACTTGTGACTGTGCATGGAGTTATCAAACGTCTCAGCTCCTTAATCTGCACGAGTGGGCGAGTGCATTCTGGATGTTTTCCCTGTTAAAGTCTAACAGTTTGCTGCACAGTTTTCCTTCCAGTCTTCATTATTTGTCACAGTTAAGTGCAGACGTTTGTCCCTTAATGGGATTTGTAAAGAGTTGTCTCCGCAGTGTTCTTGGCGAGGAGTCCTGAACTGTGTTTGTTTAGAAAAAGTCAAAGGAAACAGGCAAAGAAAGGGTGCTGACATGTGGCGTACAAACAGGAATTATCATCAAGTCATTGAGTCAAACACTGGTGTCACTCGGAGTCCAATTTTCCCTTTCACTGACGTCAAGTTCTGCATTCAGGAGTCTGTTAATTTAAATGACAGGGTTGAATAATTGGTGTGCAGACTCTTTCTAATGTGTTTATTAGGATCTTGTTTGAAAACATAAGAGTTGATGAAGCATATTTACCCCTTGAAACATGAATAATTCTCTCTCTCTCTCTCTCTTTCACACACACAGGACCAGGCCTATTAAAATTTTAACGTCTCCTCATTATTTTCACGGTTAAGATTCATTTCAGTGAAATGAAAACAAACAGCTTACTGAAGGAGTTTCTTATTTTCTAATACATATTTCCATGCAAACTGGTAACAGAAGGTCTGGTTTGTACAGTTCTGTATCGTTTTACATAATTCTCTGCACCGATGGCAAAGAACATATTAAATCTGTGAAATAATGTGCAAAAAAAAAAAAATGACTGTCTTAGACAGTAACTATAACAAATCACACAGATATTCCATGAGTTTCAAAAAGTAGAAACAATTTATGTTGATTTTGAAACGCTGATGGTGATAGTCTTCGTATGCAGTGTGCAAAATCAGACAAATGGAATTTCTTATGCAGGAAGATTACGATTTCAAATACACTGGCAAGTAAACATTTAGTCAGCAGGTGAGGTACCAACAGAGGGCGATGTTGATGGTTTACAGTTATTATTATTATTATTATTATTATTATTATCAATTCCACAAGAATTTTAAAAGTAATTATTAATGAAAAACTTGCCATTTCACTCACTGACAGTAGAGGCAGTGAAGGCATCAGCCGTTCTATGGCAGTCAGATGGAAGTGAGTGTTTCTTCAGTCCAGTCCTGTGTGAATTCCAGTGTTGTTTGTGAAGTTTTGTGGGGAGCTGTCCAGAATGTAGTGGTGCTGAAAATCCTCAAACAGCACAGTAAGCCAACCGTGGGGGCCACTAGGGGCAGATCTGTTATCTCGCTCAGGTTGTGCTTGAACACTGCGGTGCTCTTATGCAGCCTCTCTCGGCCTCCTCTGAGGTGAAGGCGAGAGTGTAGAGTTTATCATGTGAAGAGCTGTTATCTGTCTGAGCTGCAGATGTTCACTGATAAATAATCTGCAGGTATGGACCCTTCATTGTTGGCTGCTTAAATGACACGAAGTGGGTTTTTTTTGTGCACATTTTAAGTTGAATCAGTCTCTTCCTGTGAAGCCAGTTTGTTGTCTGTAATAAATACATGAAGAATGTGACTGATTAACTGTTACTACAGTCGTTCTTCCTCTCAACTGATCACTGCTTGTTCTCCGTCCTGCAGTGACTCTGTGGGAATGATGGTGTTGACACCGGTGCTTCCATCTCTGGTGCCATGACAATGCCATTCAGCCCCCTGTCCAGCGACGAGGAGCAACAAAGAATGCTGGGAAACAGTCGACATCTTTATCCAGGGGCAGAAGACGAGGAGGAGGAGGAGGAGGAAGAGGAGGAAGAAATGGACGACGATCGTGATGAGGATGGGGAAGAAGAGGAGAACGGAGAGTTGGAGGGTGAGGAGGAAGACGACGACGAAGAGATGATGGAGGAGGTCAGACGAGGAGGCCTGTCGAGGGCTGGCCGAGGTGAAGGTCACAGACAGTCGGGCAGAATGGCCGCGAGGTCCAACGTGGACAGACAGGTGCGGTCAGGGAATCCTGCGCATACAGTAAACCCGTACTCATCCAATCCTGGGAACACACACCAACAGGCAGCCAATCAGATGCAGCAGCCACAACAAAGGAGGTTGAAGGAGCGCACCATCAACTCCATGCCCTCTGAGGATGCCCACATTGCAATGATGGTGTTTCGAATTGGGATCCCAGACATAAAGCAAACGGTCAGTGATGAGTTTTTTTTTTTTCTCACAGAATTGGTTATTATGTCATAAAGATAACAGAAGAAAGATGTTTGAGCAATTCTTGGGAAGTTGTGGGTTGATAACAGACTCTGGAAGTCGTTATCCCAATTTGGTAATTGATTGTCGATTGGTATCGGCGCCATCGTTAAGTTAGAGGCAAACCGTGCGATGTAAAGTGCAGCACTTTGTTTGGTGTCTTGGTTTTTACTACAACTAGCAACTGAACAAAGTGATGAGGCCTGGAAAATAAAAGAAAACCATTCAATTTATTCCCTCACCCCCCCCCCCTGCATCACCAGCAGAGTGACTGAAGGGAGCGCTAATAATCAGTAAAGTGACTATCAGAAGAGGCTGAGCAGGACTTTCAAGGTGACCCGGCTACTGAGGGAAAGAACCAGGCAGCCGGAGACTGAGCCAAATTGTGTATAGGAGCAATCACAATGAGAAAATGGTATGCAGGCAGGAATTAGATTAAAACAACACTGCAAGCAAGAAAGGATTTGGAGAGAGAGAGCTGAAGTGAAGAGAGGAAGGGGAAGTGTTGCCTCTGGCTGTGTGTAGCTAAAGAGCTTTTCTAAGTGCTGCGATAAAGCATCTCATGCCAGGTGTGACGGCTTTAAGAGTCTGGTCCATAATCGTGACAGAGTGAGCTAGCAGCGCTTCACTTTCCCACAACCTGTCTTAGGTCACGTTACTGAAAAGTCTCACATAATTTGTCAAAAATTTAAAAAACACATTTTTTAAATGTTATCTTTTTAAGTCCGTGTCATTTTTTTTTCCCTTTAACCATCCAGGGGTTCAAACCAAAAACTTTATTTACTGGCAGCTTCCTGATGATTAGCAAACATAAACACCTTCTTCACTGGCAAATGTCCATACACTGTATACAGTAGGAGGAAATGAAATATTACACATACAGTAGATGGGTGTCAGTAGTGTGGTCAAAGTTTCTGATGTTCAAAATCTCTTCATCACATATGATTGTGTCCCTGACATGGAGCTGATTATAATCATTATCCAGTTGATTATTAGTAACTTACATTATAAAGGAAAAAACTGAATTATATCATCTGTTAACAGTTGGGTCCCAGCATAAATCAATAGTAAAAAAAGCTACATATTTACCAACATACTGACCAGTTGTAACTACACACTGATAACCACGGGATTCTACTGACATCAGACAGAGTTGTTCTGACATTTTTGTCTCTCGTCTTTTTATTAAGTAATCTAGGCCTATGTGATGTGTCGGCGTGATAAATCATCAGCAAAAATAAAACTGCAAATGAAAAATGTGTTGGTGTGTGCCTGTGTACATCCATGTCTATATTTTATATTTGCTGTCCCAGTGCACTATAAATGCTTCGCTCAATGTGTCTTCCTCCGTCTTGCTGCTCTGTGATTTATTATCGATCTATGCATGAGTGTTTTGGTGTGTGTGTGTGTGTGTGNCCATAAATATTTCACTGCTGACTATACATACTGACAAATGGGCATCAAAGTTTCATTGTGTGAAAGAGGAGAATGGGGTTAAATACTCAGGAACAGCGTGATGGATTTGGAAACGTATGTGACTGAGAGAGGTGACTGATGAAGGAGAGAGAACGTCATTGACAAAAGGAACAAAGAAAGAGAGACATAAGTAAAGACAGAGAGAGCAATTGATTAGAGATGACAGAAGGAACAGTAGACGTGGAGACAGAGGACGAGATAAGGAGAGAAATAAGTAAAAAGTGGAAGTAATGTCACAAAAAGTAGCATTAAATTGTACAGTTGTATTGTATGGTGTATTGTATTGTATTTTATATATAAAGACACTCTATATAATATGTAGTGAATAAATAATTTGAAAAAGAAATCCACTGTTGGAATAAAAAAACCCCCAAAACTTTAGTAACAGACACGTCTTTCCATGTCTTGAAGAACCTGAAGAATTTTGGGCAACTTTTTTTCCCCTCGTCATTTCATAATAAAATGTAAGGAACTCTGAATGTTCACAGGAAGAGAAACCATGTTCGGAATGTTGAAGGGGGCTCTGGGCAAAATGCCTTCAACTGAATATGAGGAGTGGGAGTTGAAGTGATTTTCTTTTGATTTTGGAAAATGTCTCATACTGTAGCACACACAACTTATATTTAATAATGATAGGATGTAACTAATAAGAGATGTTTAACTGTTGAAAAGTGATTTCACTGCTCTGACAAACTCTGAAGAAGTCTTGATGATGGGTTACAGCGTCATAAGTGTGCAGTATATTTGTTCAAATATATATTTTAATATATTACATTTAGATTTATGCATTTAGCAGACACTTTTATCCACTTACAGAGGAGGATCAACATTAGGCTTAATGTGGTTCCTCTGGGAATCGAACCCAGGACTCTCTGCTCTCTGCTTCTGAGGCAGACATGCTCATCGCTACACTGTGGAACCACCCATATATGAATTCACAGAATCAGATCACCTTTAAATATTAAAACCCTAACACACGTGACCATGGTCTTCACACAGAAATGCACTGACTTGGTTCATGTTTACATATATAGTCTGTTATAACCAGATATTCCCTCTCTCTCTCTCTGTCTTTCTGAGTCTGTCACTCACTCACTCACTTTCTCCCTGTCCTGATTTCACCTCTTCAGGCCTTTTGCAAAAATGCATTTCCATCTTCTTCTCTTCTCCACTTGCTGGGCCTTGGATATCGTCCCTGTGCTCTCCCACTACATTAGGTCTGTTCTACATGTCAGCTAATTCACCCTCAATAAACTGTAATTGCTGGTTAATTGTGCTGTAATGGGATGAGGGAGGGAGCGTAGCATCGAAATGCAAATGTTGTGAGTCGACTGGGGGGGTTTGATGTGACGAACGAGCGCCCACGTGCATGGATGGAGAGCATACGAGAACACACACACACACACACACACACATTGGCAGTAAGATAACCATCAGTCAATGCTGTGCAGCCATGAAATGATCCAATTTACTCCATTTGATCAGAATTCCACCTTCAGCTAATCCTTTTGATACAGCAGTTTAGGTTCAGTTTCCACAAAATACAAAACATTGGCTTTGCACGAGTGAAAAGTTCATCTTCTTTAAGAGTTAACTTCTTCACCAGACTCAGCTCCCTGTAGTTTGCTCCAGGTTTCTGGGACACACGCTGATTTTTTTTCTGTGAGTGTGTAAGAACTGACCTGGGTCTGTGTTGTTTTGTCCTCTTTGTGAGGACCTACGGGATCGACTTCTGCAGTAAAACGCCCTTCAAGTGTGCTCATTACTTTTGGCTGGATGATTAGGACAAAGTTTTGCAGAGTAACCTTTTCTGTGGCAGTCAAAAGCATAATATTGAGCTGAAAACTGTGCTTTAAAACAGTTTGTACGTTTTCTAATGAAATAAATGTGATGAAACGTTGGACGAACAGCTGCAACTGTTCATGTGCTTCTCGGCCCCTTGGGGATTTGGCAGCTTTTTGAGTAAAGAAATAATAGATGAATAAAAGAACAAAGTGCTGCTAATGCCCTGACTAAATGTCAATCACACGGTTTAGAGCGGACACTTAAAAAGACCAACACGAGGATCTGCGTCAAATCACAAGGTAGATATATTGCAAAGTTATATCCTTCATTTCCATATCATATATATTATATACATAGATTTTCTTGTGCTACTTGGTGTCACACTGCTGTCAATGCAGATGAACGTCACAGTTGTTTCCTTTAAAATCCAGATCAAATTTAAACTAGGGTAGATCTTGGACAAGCGTCTGTCAGTGAGGATTAAAGTGACACTGACAGACAGATATAAAGGGCCTATAGGGGGCGATCCGTATTGTCAGGGGAGGATTTTGGCCTCTGCTGCACTGAGACACAGCCAGTTCTGTTGGATTTATATCTATCGCATCTCACTCAAGAAAAGTGGGACAGGCCAAGGGCTGTGGTAAAAGTTTTCCTCCTCACTGTAGAAACCCATTTATGTTACAAAGGCCGGGACATTTAACTGTTATTAATGGATTTCTAGCCATTCAGGTCAGCAGGTTTATAAACCACTGATGACTGAGTCTGTGTTTCACTCGTCTCTGATGTGATCCTGTCACAACTCCCTGCACATGTGAGAAAATCACCTGGTCGGTTCTGAGTCACTGCCCTAAATGTAATGCTTGCTAACAGAAAACAACTCACTGTCACTGTTCTTCTGTACTCCAGGGTGAGATGTTTAGCAGCATTGCTGAATTGAGAATGGTGAAGAAGTCAAAATAATAATCAGTACTGTAAGTGATGGTTTGGATTTGTGTAGTCAAGTAAAATGGTTTAAATGGCTCTTTTGGTGTTGAAGGCTACACACTTGTCCTGTGTTTGACCACTAGTAAGCAGAGAGACTGAGAGAATAAAGACAGTATGGGATGAAGGAAAGGCTGCAGCCGAGCATGAGATAAAACAATGGAGGCAGCAGAGGAAGGGGCAGGTGACAGGAACACTTCACTGAAATTAATTTGCTCCTCTTATGAACAAGAGCAAGAGAGGGGTTAGAAATAGATAGATAAAGAGAGAGAGAGAGAGAGAAAGAGAGAGAGAGAGAGAGAAAGAGAGAGAGAGAGAGAGAAAGAGAGAGAGAGAGAGAGAAAGAGAGAGAGAGAGAGAGAGAAAGAGAGAGAGAGAGAGAGAGGGTGGTGGCTGGAGTGTTTTAAAGAGAAGGCAGGGATAGAGTGAAATCTGTGGATACGCTAATGTACGTGTGCAAATGTAATGATGGATGACGGTTCCCTTAAGGTTTCATTAAGGACACAATAGTCCTGCAGAGAAAGGCTGGACATACAGAAACACAGAGAGTTGCAGGAATAAGTGACAGAGCTGTTCCAGAAAGACTGAGCGAAAGACAGGAGGAGGGAGAGCGAGTAGAGAAAGGCAGAGGAAGTTTTAGAGCAGCATGGACAGAGTGAGTGGGCGTGTGTGAGTGGGAACGTGTGATCACAGATGCAGAAGACAAGACAGAATTTTTCAGTCGGCGTGATAATAAAACCAGAGGAGAATGAGATGAGACAAACGCTGCAGGTGGATTTCAATCTGGAACCAAAAAAAATGAAATAAAAAATAAAATTCCTATCTGTAATATTCTATAAGACTTTTAAAAAGTTTGTGGATTAAGCTTTGATCAAAGTTGAAGGAATTGAGAAAAACATGACAATCCAAGGATGCATTTCCACACAAGAGAATTCTATCATTAATGATAGTTTCCTAGAAGATGATAAATGTTTTGTGGAATATTTGGCATAATATAAAGTAATATTGTCAAGTTAAAAAACAGACATGGCAGAAATAGTCAAAGGTAAGACAAATCGTGGGCAAAACATATATACATACATATAAATACATGTACAATACGACAGATGCTTAGAAGATGTTCAGAACCTGCTTGAATGATTTAGAAGATCAATCTGCGATGGGCTCTAATTGGCTGGTCTGAAGCCGGGGGATGATCCTTATTCCTGGAGGTATTTGATCAATAAGAAACACAAACGACTCAGTACACTCTGCAGTACTCCGAAGGCTGCAAGTCTGTGAGTAAAGTAACAACAAGCTGTACTGGATGATAATTTGCAGTCTGATCGTGCAAATATTGTTTACTGAATCCTCAACCTTTTTCTCTGCTGCAGTGAATGTGTTTCGCTTTGGAGTGTTTGTATGTTTGCATTGTCTGATGGGACTGTAAATGTTTTTGGTCAGCTTCTAGGGTGTATTCATGGTATTTGTTTGTACATATGTGTGTGTGTGAGAGAGAGAGAGAGAAAGAGAGAGAGTGTTTGTATTATCTAACACAATAAAACAGAAACACATCTTTATCTGTTTTCTTTTTCATTCTCTCAAATTTGAAATCCGTTTCCTTCCCTTTGCTCTCTGCTGGTAAGCAGACGCGCGCGCGCGCACACACACGCACGGGAGCAAACATTAACTTGAAAAAAAAAAACCCAACCCGCACACCATACCCCATCTTCAAGGGAACGCTGCAATGTTTCCATGGCAACAAGCAGCTTGCTCCACTAATGAACTCGGTTACCATGGTGACCAGGAGGTTGTGCATGCACAGAAACAGTGAATACAATTGCAAAAAGAAGATACCGTATGTCGCTGCTCTTCATATAAACTGGCGTACTTCGTATACGTGTGCACGCACAGACACATGGCACACGTTTGCGAGTGTGCATACAAGTGCGTGTGTTGATGTGCACGTGTAGGTGCGTGTGCATATTCTCGTATGTGTTAGTGAGGGTTTACACGAACGTGCATGTGTGTGTGAGAGGGTGGTGTTCATAGTTTATGTGTGTGTGTGTGTGTTTAGATAACACACAGTGAGTAAATAAGCATTCTGGATTATGGAGGGAGACTTTGTGCAGTAATGCAGTAAAAGTCAGAGATGTTACTGGCTGTTCCCAGACCAGTCCTCCTGCAAACCAACTCCACTTAAATAGAGTAGGATGAAGTAGGATGAGAGAAATATGGAAATCAGTGGCGAACACCTTGGCCACTTCCGCTACTGCATGATGTGTTCTGTTAAGTTCTCGCTGACTGAGCTGCTCTTCGCCTAATGCAGCTGAACCCAAAAACCCAGAGGAAACGCTCAAAATACTACACTAATTTCCAGCGGCCGCCGGGAATCACCCCCAGTTTTTTAAAGCCCGATTTTGTCTCCCCCTGCTGGTTAAAATGGTACCATCAGCCTCAACATGCTGCAGAGGTGTCCCATATTAACCATTGTCACGTTTATTGCAATTTTATTTAACGACTTCAGCAAAGAATTGAATAAAACGCCACCAAAGTCACTCGGTTTTCTCACAATACACTGTCAATAACGTTTTTAAACCATATGCTATACCTTCAGAAACGTTCACCTGGTTATGTGTCTTTTGAAACAGATAGTAAGACAATGCTGAAACAAAGTAAGTAAATAATAAAAATATATGTAAAAAACAAATGTGGATTTTTTCTTTCAATTTCTCATTTTTTAGGACTATATAACTACTGTGGTTGCTAAATATGTAAACTATGTTTTCCTAAGAAAAATAATTTTGTTTATGGGCTTGCTAAATGATTGATGATTATATTTCAAATTTGGTTTCAATTTCAAGTTGAGAAGTTTATATGATTCAAGACTATAAAAATAAAAACAAGCATTTAAAATACAAGCTAACATCACCCACTGGATCCATCACCAATTCTCCTCAAAGAATCCAGTCATTTCAATAAAATCTTCACAGATATCTCCAGTCTAATCCACAGAGGAACCATTTAGTACTTTCCTTGAAACCCATTTGGATAGAATGCTAAATTATTTTGTGGGCGTGCTCTGAAGGTATTAATGAAAATTGTTATGAAAATTTGATGGAGACGTGAGTCATTGTCCATTATTTTAGATGGCTCTTAGCCAAATGGATTCAACACATTGATGAGATTTTGATCCACCAGTATCTGAGTCTCATCATCCTCACTCTCAAAAATACAACGGTGATAATAATAATAATAATAATAATAATAATAATAATAATAATAATAATAATAATAATAAAGTCTGAAGATTTGTGGTTGTGAAAAAATCTTTAAAAACAAACAAACAACTACACCCTTAATTCAGAAATATTTGAAGTATAATTGGACAGTAAATTATCTTTAAAAGCTTCAACATTCCTGAAAACATATTCCCACAGGTGGTCAGATATTTTTAACTTTGTTGATTTTAGTAAGTTGTATTAAATAAAGCATTATGAATGAAATTCTAATAATTCTTTAAGTCACCTCAAAGAGATTTTCATGTGTTTCTAGCACATTAGAGCCAAGTCCTCATCTTCCAAAACAGCTGCAATTTTGGGTGACCTGAAAACCCACAAAGCATACTGCTAAAATTGGAAATGACAAATTCTCTCAATTTTGTTTGATACAGGGAGAGGGAAAAGTTTGGCATTGACCTCAATTAAGTCTATAAAATGTTATTTAACCTATTATGCTGCAATGTATTATTTACATATATGGAAATATATATTTTTATGTGGCTCATAATTACCACAGATATATCCATGAAGTTGAAAGCAAGCTAAATAATGTTTAACGTAGGAGCAAACTGTAACAAATGTTACAGCTAATAGGTGGTTTGGTTAAAGGTTCTGTTATCTAAACTTCAGAGAGCTCAGATCCTTCAGGCTTCTCATTTATTGTCCTTGATGTGGCAAAACAAACAAACAAAAAAAAACTGATGAAATACAAACGTTTGTTCATAAAACACATCTTCAGACTTGTTAGTAGCTTTTTTTAACGAATATAACGTTCTCCCACAGGCCAAGCTAAATTAGCTTCCCTTGGCTAAAAATAAAATTAACCAATCAGGTGAGGCTATTATCACGCTCCCCTGATTAGTCAGGAAGTCAAAGGAATCCATGAACCCGTTAGCCTCAGGCCAATTAAATCGCTGTATGATATCAACGTCATTTACGATATTAGCGGAAGTGATTTGTCTCGATAACTTGGAAAGCTAGCAAAATTATGATTCGGCTCAGTATAT